TCTGTTTATACACTATATAAATCCATAGATAGAAGCAGGGCTCGCTCTGTTTATACACTATATAAATCCATAGATAGATAGAAGCAGGGCCTGCTCTGTTTATACACTATATAAATCCATAGATAGAAGCAGGGCTCGCTCTGTTTATACACTATATAAATCCATAGATAGATAGAAGCAGGGCTCGCTCTGTTTATACACTATATAAATCCATAGAGAGATAGAAGCACGGCTCGTTCTGTTTATACACTATATAAATCCATAGATAGAAGCAGGGCTCGCTATGTTTATACACTATATAAATACATAGATAGATAGAAGCACGGCTCCTTCTGTTTATACACTATATAAATCCATAGATAGATAGAAGCAGGGCTCGCTCTGTTTATACACTATATAAATCCATAGATAGATAGAAGCAGGGCTCGCTCTGTTTATACACTATATAAATCCATAGATAGATAGAGGTAGGGCTCGCTCTGTTTATACACTATATAAATCCATAGATAGAAGCAGGGCTCGCTCTGTTTATACACTATATAAATCCATAGATAGCTAGAAGCAGGGCTCGCTTTGTTTATACACTATATAAATCCATAGATAGAAGCAGGGCTCGCTCTGTTTATACACTATATAAATCCATAGATAGATAGAAGCAGGGCTCGCTCTGTTTATACACTATATAAATCCATAGATAGATAGAAGCAGGGCTCGCTCTGTTTATACACTATATAAATCCATAGACAGAAGCAGGGCTCGCTCTGTTTATACACTATATAAATCCATAGATAGATAGAAGCAGGGCTCGCTCTGTTTATACACTATATAAATCCATAGATAGATAGAAGCAGGGCTCGCTCTGTTTATACACTATATAAATCCATAGATAGATAGAAGCAGGGCTCGCTCTGTTTATACACTATTTAAATCCATAGATAGATAGAAGCAGGGCTCGCTCTGTTTATACACTATATAAATCCATAGATAGAAGCAGGGCTCGCTCTGTTTATACACTATATAAATCCATAGATAGAAGCAGGGCTCGCTCCGTTTATACACTATATAAATCCATAGATAGAAGCAGGGCTCACTCTGTTTATACACTATATAAATCCATAGATAGAAGCAGGGCTCGCTCTGTTTATACACTATATAAATCCATAGATAGAAGCAGGGCTCACTCTGTTTATACACTATATAAATCCATAGATAGATAGAAGCAGGGCTCGCTCTGTTTATACACTATATAAATCCATAGATAGATAGAAGCAGGGCTCATTCTGTTTATACACTATATAAATCCATAGATAGGTAGAAGCAGGGCTCGCTCTGTTTATACACTATATAAATCCATAGATAGATAGAAGCAGGGCTCGCTCTGTTTATACACTATATAAATCCATAGATAGATAGAAGCAGGGCTCGCTCTGTTTATACACTATATAAATCCATAGATAAAAGCAGTGCTCGCTCTGTTTATACACTATATAAATCCATAGATAGATAGAAGCAGGGCTCGCTCTGTTTATACACTATATAAATCCATAGATAGATAGAAGCAGGGCTCGCTCTGTTTATACACTATATAAATCCATAGATAGATAGAAGCAGGGCTCGCTCTGTTTCTACACTATATAAATCCATAGATAGATAGAAGCAGGGCTCGCTCTGTTTATACACTATATAAATCCATAGATAGATAGAAGCAGGACTCGCTCTGTTTATACACTATATAAATCCATAGATAGAAGCAGGGCTCGCTCTGTTTATACACTATATAAATCCATAGACAGATAGAAGCAGGGCTCGCTCTGTTTATACACTATATAAATCTATAGATAGATAGAAGCAGGGCTCGCTCTGTTTATACACTATATAAATCCATAGATAGATAGAAGCAAGGCTCGCTCTGTTTATACACTATATAAATCCAAAGATAGATAGAAGCAGGGTTCACTCTGTTTATACACTATATAAATCCATAGATAGAAGCAGGGCTCGCTCTGTTTATACACTATATAAATCCATAGATGGATAGAAGCAGGGCTCGCTCTCCCCATGCCTCCCTTTACTCTATATGACTGTTGTCCAATAAAGGGGGACCTAGCACAGGTCCCTGATGCCCCCATGGTGGGGCACCTATTATATTTAACAAGACGGAGACATCTACTGGCCTGAAACTTGGACATTCTGTTCGGATGAAATTTGGTCAATTCGCCGGTGCCCTAGTCTAAATGAGAGGATGTTCGGAAATGGCAAATAGTGTTCACCCAATTACATGGATTATAGTGAGTATTATGGGAAAACTTTCTTTGACATAGGAAATGGAGCTGACTTAAAGCTCTCCGTTGTGTCAGAGAAAGTCAGGCTTGGGGAAAAAAAACATAAGACAAAGTAGTCTTGTGTTTTAAAAAAAAAAAAAAAAAATTATAATGAGGAAAAGAAAAAAAGATTCCGAGGGAGGGAGAGAAAAGGAAGCAATGGGGAAAAGGGAGGTTTGGCATGACAGTGCTGCTTTAGATATTAAATGTAAAGATGTCTTAATGTATAACTTTTTTTGGTAAATTTTAATTTGGAATAAGGACAGCTATCATCATTTTTTATTTTTAAAAGCTTATTAAATTTAAACGTAATATCTGAAAATGTCATTTTATCTGGCTGAGCCGCCATGATGGATTAGACTCTATTGTTATCTGACCAACTGCTGCTCAGCCTAACTTGCTGCCGCTGTTATTGCCTTGTGTGAACCTGCAGCGGCAGCAAGTTAGGTTGAGCAGCAGTTGGTTAGATAACAGTAAACGAGGCTGACCCAACATGGCCGCTCAGCCAGGTTAAAAAATATCAGTTTCATTAAATGTAATAAACTTAATAAAAAATGAAAAGTAAATATTTGATGACAGTTGTCCTTTAATTCTTTCTATTGGACCCATTGCGAACTTACGTTTAGTAAATACGCTCCTTCATTGATGTTAATTTTGTATTTGTGTTAACCCTATCCCTGCCGCTGCAGGAATGCATGGTATATACACGTTCTGTGTGCAATAAACCTTGTATAGATAATGGGGTCCCTTTCACCCCCCTCTCCCCCAGTTTCTCATTGTGTCCCCCTCTCTGTGCAGGGCTTATCATGAACAGCACGGCTGCACGTTCACCTCTGTCATTCCGACCAACGTGTTTGGGCCTCACGATAACTTTAACATCGAAGACGGACATGTGTTGCCAGGACTTATTCACAAGGTTTATCTCGCTAAATGTAAGTATTTATCGGCTCGGATC